ACTCATCTCCGACCCAATTGAACCTATGTAGCCAGACGCGTGGGCTTTTCCGTCGAAGAGTGCAAAGCCCGCTGGGCAGAACTTCAAGAACTCCAGCAACTTCAAGACCAACAGCAAGCCACAACAACCCCCTCACAATCTCCTTCCCTCTCCCACCTCACCAGCCAACACTGCTCCCTCGCCGCACCACGACTCCCAGCCTGCGATGATCATATCCGTGTGTCCTGTGAGGGTATCGTTCTCGAGCATGTCGTGGGTGGAAAGATCAGGCAAAGTGGCCATCAAGAGCAGGACAAACAAAAGGTTGAATGGACATTTTCGAACAAATGAAAGCCTAAATGAAAGGAAAATGATGTTTTTTCAGGTCAAGGCTGATCCAGGTGAGAAGCAAAATCATGTCTGTCCCGACGTAACGATCCTAGACATGCGTCTTAGCTCAGCAAAAATGGAATCGTAGAGAACACCAAGATCACGAAACCAGAGAAATTGTATTTTTGCGATGGCTCGCCGAAAGAGCTGGGGTGAAACAAGCGGCTGGTGGTTGCAGCGCGTTTATCTGAGTTGCAAAATGCTGAGCAGCTCGTCACTGGCGCTCGGGGCGGCGGCCGGCAGCCCGTCCCGGTAGACCAGCCCTCCACTCAGCACTTTCTTCCACGCAATCCGATGCCTTACATGGCACCTTCAGTTCCCCACCAACCTGAGCTTCTGCTTCTACAGCGGATGCTACACATGATGGAATGCATCATCAGCACCATCCTGCATCACCCACTGGTCTTTGACCCACTTCCTGGGCAGCAATACTTCACAGACCAGAATTCCAACCGACTCTTCGTCCAATTCCGCAACGCTGCACCGCCTGGCACCACTGATGCTCGACCTCACCCAAGGTCGTTGCCTCCTCCAGTACTTACCAGGTTCTCCAGGTTCACATGGCTACTACCGCTGCACCGCTCCGCTCTCTCCTTGTCATTCTCCACCCTCTCTTCCACCAGAGTATCAAGTCATACAATACCACCAACCGACCGCCGCACACCCACCGCGCACGTTCTCGTTCCCGAGAACAACGCTCTACTTCTCTCACATGGGACATTCCACTTTTCTTCAACAGCCACAACACCACCTCACCTCCCACTCCCGCTCCGCCTGCTCAGCCTCCTCCGCCCAATCACATCCAGCCCCTCCACCACCACCTGTGGAGTGTTTCCACATCCACTATTACTCGTGATTCTATGGACGCAGCGGCATCCACTAACGGCTGGAGGACTTTTCACGGCAATTGGTGATCCGCACCCTTGCTTCGGTACGATATACGCTTTTTAACACTGGTTCATTCACACTATGACGAGCGCTTCAGGCCCCGGAAAATCCAGCGCAGTCGTCCATACAGCCATCCTTGTTTCGGGCTTGTTCTTTTTACTGGTTCAACTCATTTTCTCCATCACCGCAATACTTTCCACTTCACATGTCCCGCAGCCATGTTATTTCCAAATTTTGTTTCGGCCCCTTGCACACTGCTTTCCATTTCTGCCTTTTCGCGATAGACGAGGAAGCTCCTGATTAAATACGGTCTCCGTCACCAGATTGGCCTGTGAAAGAAGATCCGTACTCCCAAAGAAGAACCTTGCTCCTCCTCCACTCCCGTAGCTTCACACAACAAACCTACAGATCCCCTCCCCACAGAGACGTTTGATCCCCCCCACCACATCACCACCAAAGCAACCTGTTTCACTACGCCGCTACCGCAACCTCTCCACCAAGCCACCCCCACGCCGCTCTTCTCCACAAGCATCCTCTTCTCGACACAAACCAGCACGCCCACCTTCACCAGCATCCACCAGCAGCGAGGACCCCATTATTCTTTACACAAATGCACCCATCCTTAGGCGAGACCAGGACAACCACCTTTGAGGCTTCACCCGCTCAGCCTGTCCGTACCTTCAACACCGGCCAGACATTTCAAACACACCCACCAGACCAGTATAGCTGGCTCGAGGTCACCGTGCCCCCTCTCCCTACAAGTTTCTTCTGAAATCCGACATTTCCTCGATCTACTTCACACACCATCCCGCGCCCCACCGTCCATTCCTGCGGCACCTTTGCAGCCATCACCTATGGCAGCTCCACCACCACCTCAACCAGCTTTCGATCCTAGCCTTCTTCCACCTCCACCACATCCAGCACCACAGCCCCTGTTCCCACTGGCGGATGCTATTATGCGGATCGCACAGAGTGTGGCCGAGGCCACTGCGGCACACAGAACCTCTGAATAGCCGCCTACATTTTGCATGTTGTTTCACCTTGCGACTACAGCTATAACGACAGTCGCTAAAATAGCGGGCACTCAATTTCCTCATGGGGTACTGTACTACATTTCACCTGTTGATTTTTCACACTTGAGAACCAGTCATCTTTAGCCTTTCATTTTCGTTTTCTCCATCGCAGCCATTTTGAAACCTTCCCGCGCTCCCTACCTTTTTGCGATCCACCTTCGCGATGAGCGCGCCGCCCGAGGAAGGGATTGACACGAGCTTCTGGGCCTGGGCCTACAACAACCGCCCGGCTCACTCCTTGCAGTTTTGACAGACGTGGGGGTGCACCACTTCCAACTCACTGGGCTCCTCCACGATTTCACTACCCTACGTGAAACACCCATGCGGCGCGATCCATTTAGAGATGAGCTACCGAGCCCCGTTGTGGATCTTGTTGAAAACTACCGTCTCCACACGCAAAACGCGGAAACTCACGTCCTCCGCGCCATCCAAACGGTGGAGACGATTGGGCGCTTTCCCGCCAGCGCCTTCCTCACTGACCCTACGATCGACCCCAACACTCAACTAACTGAACCACCCTTCCATCCCATTCTTCCGCCAGGCAGAGGCCTTGCACCTGGCCAGCGACTCATTGTCAGCAACCATCTTCTCTACGGCTTCCCACCTACGTCCAATGCGGAGAAGATTGCCTGCAAGTGATTGGTAGTACGAGATGATAGCGCGACCTTTCTGCCATTGTTTTTTGGCCTTGAGATGAACGATCCCGTAGGGGATACACGAAGGCCTGTGAGAACCGTGAGGCCTGCTGCGTGGAGGCGTGCCTCCGATGAGGTTGAGAAGTGATGTTGGCAACAGGAGACCTGTCGCGAGTGATGCGTGAAAATGCCGGGGTAAAGTGGTAATGCGTGGATCTCGGTTTGTGCAGGTGATTCGATGGTGATCGGTGGTGTAAGGTGAGACTGTGCTGTCTGTGCGGTGGCGATGGCCGCAGAGACTGGTCCTGGTCTGGTGGAGCAAGAGAGGTGTGAGGGGAGGTGAGGTTTGTTGTTCGGAGGAGCCGAAGAGGTGAGAGAGGAGGGGAGGTTTGAGTGGTGTTGTGTTGCAGTGGTGTGGCGGCTCGTTCACCAGCAGAGCACTCGACATTACCCTACCAGGCCAACTTTCTATCCCGCAACTCTGGCGCCACTTCCACACTTACCTCTCTCAAACTCCCTCAGACATAAACCTCCGCGCTACCAATGGTGACCTTGTTGGGTTCTTCAACTCCGTCCCCCAACACCGCCTGATTGACGCCGTCCACAGTTTGATCCAGCACTGGCAGACCCAGCATACCACTCACACTCTCACCGTCGACACCAAAGCCACAGGCAACCCTTACCGCCATTCACACATTGGTCGCCACCACGCCAGACATCCAACGCACCATCCACACACAGCTGACATCACCACCATCGTAGCAGTTGCACTCAACACTTCCGGACTTGCAACCACACTTACAAACAGATACGCGGCGCTGGGATTGGCTCCCAGTTGTCACCAGCCCTATGCAACGTCGCCATCACCCTGATTGAACATTCCTGGCAGCAGCTTCACAACAATCTTCTTCATCACACCGACCTACACTTCACATACTACCGATATGTGGACAACCGTTTCATTGTCCACAACGAACACTTCCTTTCTCACCCCGCCATCCAAACACTCATCCACCACAACTTTTTCGGCGACCCCGTCGAGCTTGAAACAGTGGATGACTTTCACCTCTTGGGTTTCAACATTGATCTCCATCAACGCACCATCAGCTACATACAACCCACCCAATGTTGGGAAATCCAAGATGCCACCAGCGCCGGGAGCAAAAGGCTCACGCTCTGTGGCCTTGCTTCACGACTCCACACAGCTTGTCAACCTCTATGTCCTCAAGGGACATGCAGCAATAGACTGCAAACGGTTCTTAAGGCCAAAAAAGAACGCCAAGCCTTTCTGCAAGCGCCGGAGCCGGCATTCTGCGTGTCCCCCTCTGTTTCTAAGTTTTGTTCCTTATACATGATTTGCAGGGGAGTGGAGCAGGCCTGCAGAGCTCCACTTAACAAAGCTCTCTGCAGTATCCTGCGGATATCACTGGAGACGTCCAGTGACGTACCTGCTGAAAGAACTTTTGCCCACGCTGTCCAATGCCTGATGTTTTGCTTCCATGGTGGTTTGCATGCTACCCCCCACAAACCCATTTTCTAGCTGCTGAGCTCACCGCCGCCGTTTTCTGCGATTTCTGAGCGATTGCAACACCTGGGTTCAACACCTTCAATTTTTCGGACTCACTCGCCTTTCTGTTCCCTCACTCATTTCCGCGCGCGCGCGCGCCGATCCCCGAATTCTTTGATGGGGCTCTTGGGTTGACCACATCCTTCAAGCTTGGCATTTTTTGTGTTTTTGGCAAGAGCTGCCTTGATGGTTCACATGCCAGAAGAACCAATGGGCATCTTCAAGTGAAGAATATTGAATTGCTGTAGCATAAAACCTATGAGTTGTCACCGATGCTCCACGCATCGCTTGTGGCTAGGTCGTGAAAACAAAGACTGCAAACTTGACAACAGCCACTGCAAAAGTGTTGAGGAGACCGGCGCTAACCAAAAACCCTTCAGTTCAGGGAAAGGGTGTACATACTCTGTCCTACAAAAGTTGCACAAGGCCCTCCGCCAGTCACAAGTACAAGCATTGAAGGCAAGAGGCGTATGGAATTGGATAGGACTCCGACATCTTTTTGAAGACATATGTATTACCGACTTCATCCTCTTGCACGAGGGTCTCGTCACTGACGTAGTGGACCGTAACTTCAATTGAGCCATCGCCCTTGAGCTTTAAGGGTTTCATGTATCTCTCCTGAGGATGGTGCGAAGGCTGGACACAGTGCGCCTGCAAGTTTACATGTCAGGCAAGCACCCAAACACAAGGCAGCGGGACTAATCTGCTGGTAGGTCAAGGCGTGCCATGTTCATATTGTTTTGAGCGCATCACATCATACAAACTATTGACGCGGAATATTTTTGCAGCTTGGGGCAACAAAACGTTCTAAAGCTGCGCGACGTCCCCCTTGGGAACTAGAAGCTAGAGAGAAAGTACTTGGTGACAAAAGTTGACTGTATAACATATATAATTATATACAATGAAAACTTCAGCAGCTGGTCCGAAACCTAGGCAGTGCAGGTTATGATGGGGAGGGACTGCGGAAAGGGCAAAACTTTGCTTCGTTGAAGGAAAACTCTTACACTGAAGGATACTTGGCCTTTACAGTAAAGGTGTTGCAAACGAGGTAGACCTTTTAAATTGATGTTTTTCGTCATCATGACAACGCTACTTACAAATGTTGAAAAATCGCGCGCATCGTTTTCAATGCTGTATTTGGGCCCAGATGCGTCACTGACACATGTGCATCTATGTGTGTCACGCACCGCTCATGGTCCCTGACACGCAATGATTGCACAGCCTGCTGGTTCGCTTCCGCCAACGGACAGGCGCACTGGCTGCTAGAATGTGAAAATCGGTGAAACGAATGACCAGCTATACACAACAAAATTTCTATGTCAGAGCTGGGGGTCCACAAAAATCAAACCCCTCACCCGCAGAAACCATGGGAACTAGCCAACACAAAGATGAGAGACCAGTCTGAACCATCCAAGTTAGGGTTAGGGAGGCAGGTGAGCAAAACATGAACACAAGAATCACCACGGCAGCGCGACAACCAAAGAGGCCAACAGAAAAGGGCAACACGAACTCGAGGCCCCAAAACATTCCTGCCTGTGAGATTGTATTGAGCGTGGACCATCGTTCAAATCGAACAAAAATGAATGTTTTGATTAGATTCGATCTCAGCTGGACTTATCGCTCTTGCGACAAAAGCTGTTCAAAACCTACTTTTAGACGTTTCAAGGAAAAATGAAGCTAGACGATCTTAAGCTGAAAACCTTCTCTCTAGGGCGCCCACAACCACTGTAGACTGTAGCCCTAAAGGAACTGCCTTCTTTTCCACAATATTCATGTCTAAAACGAGTTGACAACAGGGAGAAAGGGCATCAAGAACTTGTGCCTTGGAGGGGTTAAGGGAAGCTACATGCAAGGACACCATACAGTCGAGGTCGGGCCTATATATATACATATATATATATATAGACATTAGGAAACTTGTTCAACAGCGGCCAAGGCGCAAGGCCTGTGGTGCGAATCGCCTCTCGGCTCTCTGCCGAGCCGTGTCGAGACGCCACGATCTGCACTTCATCGAAGCCCACAGTGCCTGAAGACACGATGAAGTGAGAGAGATTGGACGAGAGAGCAAGTCCAAGAAAACCTGCCAACAGCTAAACATGAATTAAAATCATCGCAAGTTCATCAATAAAATTTATAAATTATGTTTATATCTTTCGTGAAGCGCGTGAGCTTTTCCAACGCGACGCCAGCATCACAACACGCTACGCATCGACGCACGTCCTATCATGACAACACCGCAACAAGCAAGAACAAAGGGACCAGCTCCCTTTACCTCTTCCGAGCGGGCGGACATGTCACCACAACAGCATCACCCAACGTCAGAATCTCAGCGTGGCCATGGGTCATCATCTCAGCGTGGCCTGTGGCAGCACGTCAGCTTGACAACAAGTCACCATAACAGCCAGACAACATGCCACGCCAGCACATCAGCGTGACCAACTTAGCACGACCGAAGGGCAACATGTGAGATGTCCACATCACAAGCAAGGTGACCTGATAGCATTACAAATTGAGGCCGGGGGGCGGCGGAAAGTACTGTTGCTGAAGCTTCGCCCTTGGGGAAAAAGTGCCAAATTGTTGGAAGTTGAAAAGAATCCCTGGCAACAGTACGCCAAACAATCCCCAACAGCGGGGCACGAATTTGCCGATTCAGCGATGGCAACGTGTTGCTGGGGAACTTACTCCGGAACCTGTCAAGAACCACTCTGGAACTTATGCCGAAACTGCTCAGCACTGGCTCCGGAACCGGCTCCGGAACTTCCTCCGAAACCTCCGAAGTCTTTACTGTGGCTGAAGACCCCTAAGCTTCGCTATGCTTCGCTGTTGGGGAAGAATTGGATGTTCGTCTACAGCACTTTTTGTATAAAAGGAAGGGCTCTCCAAAATCTTGGATTTGTTCCTGAGGATGTTGTTTTCTGCTATCGAAAGGCCGTGAATGTTGCACAAAAAAAGACTTGTCAGGCCCTCACTTCGTCCCAAAGACATAAGTCTTCAAATCCGCCTTTCAATTTCGTTGCTCCCGAATGAGTGAGGCTTGCGACCCCTTGACCTTGTCTGTTTGTTTAGGGTGTCAAACCAACCGTTTTACGCCCGAAGTGGAAATCAGCTAGTTCGGATATCAAAGGACGCTTGGGCGGATGCGCGCTTCCTATTTCTTGAAGCTGAGCGATACTTGCGTGTACCTATATTCTGTACGTGTCATTCCCAGTTTCATAAGCACAAGTTGAACCAGTTTACCTTGTTTGTTACGAGGTGTCAACTTAAAAAAGAGTTGCTGACCCTGTATGCCCAAACGCATGGCCTGCAGTACCTGATTTGGCCGGCTTCCATGGGCCCGACATCATCAACGCAGCATTTGTCCTCTGAATTCCATCCTAAGCCAAGCGGGCCAAGCGTTGAAAACAAAACCCTGCCAACCCCACTAGAATTTGATCAAGTCCGCCTGGAGCTGCCAGTTGGCCCGAGAGCGAGACAGGTGATTGTTCAGCACTGTCGAGTTGTGAAACAATAAAAATCGAGTTGTCCAAGAGCCATGACTTCTTTATACAATCTGTTATTGAGTAAGAAGTTGCGAAGAATTCCACTTAAAATATAAAGAAAAGATGTATAGAAGGAGGGAAAGAGAGGGCGGACGTGAAGGAGTGACAGTGTGGATGCGCAGGCGCGATATAGATGTACAGATGTGTGGAGGTGGAGAGGTAGATCTGCAGATGTGAGCGTGTCAAGATGTAAAGTCTACGCAGGTGAGAGAAAGGACATGTAGAAAGAAAGAAAGAAAGAAAGACAGAAAGAAAGAAAGAAAGAGAGGGCGGATGTGAAGGAGTGACAGTGTGGATGTACAGACGTGATATAAATGTACAGAGCACACTAGAAGCAATCCTATCACACGATACCGCCAATCATCCCGCTCACCAGCGACACGGCGCGTTTACGCCAGCATGTTTCGCGCTCCCCATGCACTGGCACGACGCCCCGCAAACGTACTTCCCACCAAGGCCGCGCAAATCCGCATGGTACTGCGACATCACGGACGTCCTTCGCCGCACTTTCTGCCCACATAGTAGAAGCTAGCCTATCACACGATACCGCCAATCATCCCGTACGCCGCGTTTACGCCAGCATGTTTCGCGCTCCCCAGTGGCACGGCGCCACGCAAACGCAGTTTCCATCACGCCGCACTTTCTGCCCACATACGAAGCTAGCCCATCACGCGATACCGCCAATCATCCCGCTACCAGCGACACGCCGCGTTTACGCCAGCATGTTTCGCGCTCCCCAGTGCCCAGTGGCACGGCGCCACGCAAACGCACTTTCCACCATTAAGGCCGCTGCGACATCACGAACGTAATTCGCCACACGGTCTGCCCACACACTAGAAGCAATCATATCACACTAGAAGCAAACACTTCTGGGCCCAGCTCCACAACACTGTTTCCTGCACTACATATGTACTACAAACTGCCCTCTTCTGAGTGTACTACATTTAAACTTGTACTACAAACTGGCCACTTCTGAGTCCAGCTCCGAAAAGCTCTCTCCCGTACTACATTTGTACTACAAGCAGGCCACTTCTGAAAAGCTCTTTCCCGTACTACATTTGCACTACAAACTGGCCACTTTTGAGTCCAGCTCCGAAAAGCTCTCTCCTGTACAACAGTCTAGCTCCAAAAAGCACCCAAAACGCACTCTCACCTGCATTTCGCGCCCTCGACACGCACGATCTCCGCAGAGGGGTGCTCGCCTGCATTTCGCGCCCTCGACACGCACGATCCGCAGAGGGTTGCGCCGGACCGGGCCAAAACGCACTCTCACCTGCATTTCGCGCCCTCGACACGCACGATCCGCAGAGGGTTGCGCCGGACCGGGCCAAAACGCACTCTCACCTGCATTACGCGCCCTCGACACGCACGATCTCCGCTGCGTTTCGCGCCCTCGACACGCTCTGCAGACGGGGGCGCCGGACCGGGCCAAAACACCTGCATTTCACGCCCTCGACGCGCACGATCTCCGCAGAGGCTTGCCCGGGCCAAATCCAAAACGCAATCTCGTCTGCATTTCGCGCCCTCGACACGCTCGATTTTGCGCCGGACCGGCCCAAAACGCACTCTCGCCTGCATTTCGCGCCCTCGACACGCACGATCTCCGCAGAGGGCTGCCCGCGCCCAATCCAAAGCGCGCTCTCGCCTGCATTTCGCGCCCTCGACACGCACGATCTCCGCAGAGGGTTGCGCCGGACAGAGACAAAACGCACTCTTGCCTGCGTTCGACGCGCGCGATCTCCGCAGAGGGTTGCGTTTCGTGGTGCTCCGGCGGCACCGCCCCCGGCCTTAAGAGAGAAAGTAAAGAAGAGCGAGAGGTGAAGATGTGAGATGTAGATGTGAGGATGCGCAGATGAGCGGAGATGTAGATCTGCAGATGTGAAGATGAGCAGAGATGTACATGCGCAGATGTGAACATGAGCAGAGATATAGGTGAGAATGTGGATGTGCAGAGGTGAAGATGTGAGATGTAGATGTGAGGATGTGAAGATGAGCGGAGATGTAGATGCGCAGATGTGAAGATGAGCATGCAGATGTGAAGATGAGCAGAGATGTAGACGCGCAGATGTGAACATGAGCAGAGATATAGGTGAGAAAATGTGGATGTGCAGAGGTGAAGATGTGAATATGTAGATGAGACGTAGTTCTGCAGATGTTTTTTTACGAAGAACCCTTCGCAGACGCTCTCGGGAAAAAAGGTCATGCAATTCACAGCACTGTCCGGGTGACGAGGACTCAGGTCAAAATTGGGTGAACTGAATTGCTGTGATTTTCTGATCTGTAATCATTCGCGATGGCGACGCCGATCTCTAGTCGTTTCTGGCTTCTGAAACCGAGGTCATGTGTGGCAATTTCTGACCTGTGGTGGTTTGCTAGGTAAGGTGAGTAGGTCTTCGTTGCGATCTCTGGCGATTTACGGGGATTTGTGGTAAGCTGCACATCGAGCGCAATGAGAAACCGATACGCTGCAAATTGCAAAGACCACGCCAGCCACACCCTTAAGCCCAAGTCCAAAATAGCCCCAATGGCCTGTTGCGCTGTTTATTCATCAACGCTCCTTATCAGCACTTCACACCACCCGGCAGCAGTGGAACATCTTGCTACACCAAGGGCTGTTTGATCAAAGCCCCAACCAGCCGGCGACATAAAATGACCATAGTGTCCGTTCGGCCCTTGTTTAAACCCACCTAGTTCCGTTTACAGTGTACAGTTTAACCGCTGCAATTAAGTTCATTATCTTTGAGGTGCATGTTGATAGAGGAAGGCCTGTGCCTCTGGCAGAGTCTACTGCGTCAAAACCTCTGCGCACCCGCAAATCATTTGCGGGTGTGTATGTGTATATCGGTGCGGAATTCCTGGCATGCTGGAGGAGCGGTCCTATTGATGAGTTCAAACAAATTTTTACAGTCCGTGGCCACTATTGCATCTTCTTTTCCAATTTCTTGAAGTCTTACCAAATTTTCACTTAGTGATTCATTGGGATCGAGAAGTTCGGGTTCATCGGAGAAGGCCGGTGGCAGTTGTGCTGGTGTTTTATCACCTGGTCTCCACTGGCAGTTTTGGTCCATGAGCCAGCTCCAGAACAACCTGCACCATGCAAGAAGGTCGCTTCTGCGGACAACGTGCTGACTGCCACCTTTTGGATTTTCTTTGATGACCACATGATGGGATTCACAACGCTTTGTTTGTTTTCGCCTATCGTTTTGTGGGCTGTGAGTATCATCAATCCTTGGTGGGAGGAGTGATTCTTTTCTGATGCAAATGATGGATGGATGGATGGATGGATGGATGGATGGATGGGTGGATGGATGGATGGATGGATGGATGTATTTTTCTAAATAGGTTGCAGAAGTCAAGGGCCCTTGTGGCCGGCGCCGTACGTAGGCCATGGGAGGCTAGAAGTAGTCGACAGCCACCATTTCATCATCAGCCAGTGGTTCTTCTTCTGCCTCTTCGCGTCACCCCCTTGGAGTCTGGTGCGCGCCAAGCTGGAGCTGAACCTGCTTCAGGTGTCCCGCTTGCTGCTGGGCTGGGGTTCATGGCCGGTGCAAGTGTGCATGGGAGATCTCTTGCAGGCAGCTGTCGCGGTGTGTCTGGCTTTGTGAGCTGTCAAAGTGGATCCTGCGTGGCCTGGGCGCCGAGAATGCCTCCTCAAATTGGTCACTCTGTGGCTCTGGCGTGTGGGCGACAATGCCACTGGCTTGAGAGGCTTGTTTGTTGAACATCTCATGGATGGGTGGAGGTCCTCGAACGCCAGCCCCTTGTCCAAATGGAGCTGCAGCCCACACGCGGTGCAAGACAGGCGGTCCTCATGGAGGGCATCATGGAAGAGGACCTGCAGAGGGTCAGTCACAGTCTCTATGTCAGCCGTAACGCCAGCGCACCTGAGGCTCCAGGCGACGAACCACATCTGCGCAGGCGGCAACGAGATGCAGCGCTGGCGGCGTGGGAAAGGGCCAACACTCTGCGTGACCGCAACAGCGCAACCTGGCAACGCACTGTGGACGAGGACCATGCTGTGATATACCAGCACACTGTGGCAAGGCGCCCAGGCGCCAGGCCCGCCATACCAAACAACACAAGAAGCACCTGGTTGGGAGGTGTAAACAGCCATGGCAAGCCCCGCAACATCGATCAGCGCCTGTGGCACCAGGGCCCATCAGGGACTCACTGTGGCAGTCGTGGAGACCAGACTTCAAGAGGCCTGTCCGCAATTGAGTTTCCAGGAAAGGTATAGTCCGGCTCCTCTGGTGGTGGTAAGTCTCTGATGACCTGCTGTGGAGATCTGAACGTGTCCACATCACCGAAGACTTGAGCGATTTGACTTGCCAACTTCGGTGTTACATGGGGCAAGTGTGTTGGCGTCTGTCCATCGTCTGCAATCCACATCAGGTCTCGGTAGATGAGGATTGCAAAGTAGTGGCCAGTCTCATGGCTGGGTCCACAATGGCAGATGACTCTGAATGTTCCATTGCGATTCATGGTTTGGCGCGCTTGCTCGTGACCCCATCGATGCAGGTGTCCCTTGTTACATGGCAGACCAGAACTGGCTTGTCTACTGTCCAAGGCCCTGGTTTGCCCATGAGGAGCTCCTGAAATGTAGCGTCATCCGGCCAGTCATCAGGATAGGGCACCAGGAGTGGTTGTTGGACATGGTCAACCAAGTATAGCCCCCTCTCGGATCTCTGCATACCGGTAATGGAAGGCTCGTGTTTGGGAGAGCGACCACAAGGAGTTCTGCATCACCTTGGACGTTGAGATCATGCCGCTGCCAAAGGCTGTGAAGGCCAGGCAGTTTGTGGAGATCAACTGCTTCAGCAAGTTCAAGGGACTCT